GAAATAAAGAAAATAAATGATGATGATGATTTTCTATATTCATTCGAGCATTTTGAATTTTTTCTCGCCCTCACACTCTCCCACTTTCTCTTTTTTTTTCTCTTAATTTTCTCATAGAAAAAGAAGAAGATAGATATAAAGTATATGAAAAAGGAAAAAAAGGAAAAAAGGAAGAAAAAAAAAAGGAAATTTCGTCTTTTGCTTTTAATTTTTTTTTTTTTTTTTTTTTTGTAAATCCAATTTACGTTTTCGTTTTTTTTTTTTTTTCATTTCGGTCCTAAAATATTTTTCTATTTATAATGAAAAAATTATTATTATTATTATTTATTTCAACATGGCCGTCTTTTTCTTTCTCTCTCTTTTTTCTCCATCATATCTATTCATCAATTTTCTATTGACACTGATTGCCGAAACCATTTTTTTTTGTCGATTCGTGTGTGTGTTAAAATCATGTTTGATCGAATTCGAAATGTGAAATCGGTGAGAAAATCATCATCATCATCATCATCACCCGGTCACACATTCTAGAGAAAAATATCTCTACCGTAAAAGACGACGGAGAAAAAAAAAATTTTTTTTTTTACTATTTCATTCGTATATCAATAAATACATCGTCGGCCATTTTTCTTCGGGAAAAAAAAATTTTTTTATTTATGACGTTAATTTTTTTATTTATTAAATCCTCTTCGGCTTTTCCTTCCGATTACCTTTTCAGGTTTTTTTTTTTTTTTTTTGCCATTTGCTACGACCTTTGACCTTTTTTCTATTTCTTTTTCCTACTTAGACTAATACATATTTTATGGGTCTTCTTGAGTTTTTTCTTTTTCTTTTTTTCAATAAAACAGTTTGACGGTTTAAAAGCCTTTTTGAAAAATATCCACGAAGCTAAACCATATTTTTTTTTTTTCAACTTCCGGTTTGAAATTACTTTTTTTTTTTTTTTGCTTTTTTCACTTCCTTAATTTATCTTTTTTATTTGTCAATTTTTTTTTTTTTATCGATCTTTCAACTCTTCCTTTTTATATATTTGTGTGTACATTTTTTTTTTTTTTTTATTTCCGGATGTGCAATCATTGATCTTTCCCATCCAATAAATATACAATTTTTTTTTTTTTTGCAAAGCAGAAGACGAAATATTTAAATTCTACGTTTGATAAATAAAAAAAAAAATTTTTAGATTTTCACGTCCCGATTATTTATATCCCTCTTTTTATTTTCTATGGTCTCTCTCTCTCACTTTCAAACCGAATGAAAAAAGAAATAAAAATGGACCATCGAGATGAAAAAGAAAATGGGAGGGGGGAAGAGGAAAATTTTTTTTTCAAGGATTTTTTTTTCGAGGGGGGGGATTTTGTAAAAATCGTGAGAAATTTTAAAATCCCAAAAAACGAAATAACCTTTTCATTATTATTATTATTATTATTATTACTTATAATTTAATCCTAATTAATCCCAAAAAAAAAAATATACCCCAGGAAAATAATAATTTTTCAGTTGTTATTATTATTATTATGTTTATCTCTCTTTCTCTCTTTCTCTCTCTCCTGAAATGAAAACCCGATGGGAACCGAAAAGACTGCGGGGTAAATTCATTTAAAATAATAATAATAACCTTTTTTTTTTTTACTTTAACAAAGAAAAAAAAATTTTGTAAAAAAAAAAAAAAAAAAAAAAAAAACATTTAATGAAAATCGTACAAATAATAATAATAATAATAATTAAAGGTTTTTTTATAGCGTTTGAAAGTTAAACATTAAATGCACGTGTACGATGTGTATAATAAGCACGTGTGCGCGTGCGCGTATATATAAAAATCATTATTATTATTATCATTTTGTTTTAAATTAGAGGTTTTGGATTTCAAATTGTAACCGTTCGTTTTATTTTTTTGGGGGCGGAGGAGGAGGAGGAGGAAACAGTTAATAAAATATTTAATTAATAAATTTCAAAATAAAAATAAAAATTTATATACGGCAGAAAATAAAAAATGGCCGACCTACGCATATAAATTTTTTTTTAGTAAAAATTTTTAATTTTAACCTTTTTATTTTTATTTTTAAATTATTTAATTATCTAATAATCGACCCGCTATTATTATTATTATTATCGTTGTTTTTTTTTTATTTTATATATATAAATAAAATTATATTAAGGCTTTGACCGAAAATGTGGAAAACCGCTGCTTTGCGGGAAAAACTTATGATTAATTAATTAATTAATTAATTTTATGAGTTTTTTTTTAAAGGGTTATATACTCATCTTATTCAAAGAAAAATTCGTATTATTATTATTATTATTATTATTATTATTATTATTATTATTATTATTATTATTATTATTATTAATCGAAATCTGTGGTGGTGGTGGTGGTGGTGGGGGTGAAAATGAGGTCGGCGATGGGAATTTTCCCTAAAGGATTCGTGTGCGCCTAATTTTGTAAATAGAAATAATAATTTACGCACGCGAAAAAAAAAGTACATTCGAGTGAAAATTTTTACAAAATGGCGGCGAAATTTAAAGAAAAAATGATTCAGCAGCAGAAGGAATAAAAAATGTCGAACTCATTTTTTTTTTTTCAACTTGATTAATGTAAAAAGAAAAAAAATTTGATAGATGATGGAAAAGGAAAGTTGAAAAAATAGATTGACAGAATTGTAAAAAAAAAAAAAAAAAAAAAAAAATAGATAGACAGTAAGAGAAGATGTCTTTTAGCAATTGCAGCAATTTTTTAAATTTTTTTTTTTTTTTTTTAGGCGCGATTTCAATTTTAATTAAATTTATAAAAATAAAAATTATTACTTCATCACGTGTTCGGATCTCAATGATGACTCTTTTCAATTTTTTTTCAAGTTCGATCGTCAAAATGATTACGTAAATACAAAACATTTTAACGTCACGAAAAGAATCGTTGCTGCCACTTTCGTTTTTTTTGTTTGTTTGTTTTTAAATTTCACGTCATATTTACCAAGATATTCTTTTCAATTTGTTCATTCGCATCCTTCCCTTCCTCTCCCTCACCTTCCTCCTCTCCCGCAATACATCTGTCCATCATTTTTAAACGTTTTCATTACGCATCCGCGATTAACGGCTGCCCATGCGTGACGCGCGTAACCACGTTTATTATAATAAAATATTCCAAAATTATCTGGAACGCGTTTTAATTTTTTTTTTTTTTTTTTTTTCAACAAAACATTTTTAATTTCGTGTTGTGTATAAAAAAACATAAACAAACAACACAAAATGTTTTTTTTAAAAAAAAGTGACAATAAAATAACGCGTTTTGTATTTAATAGTTTAATAAAACAATAAAAATCTACTTGATTAAATAAGAAATAATAATAATAATAAAGGAAAAAACTTTTCCAGCACGAGAATAAACGTTTGTTGTTGTTTTTGTTTTTTTTTTTTTTTTAATGTTCACGACTAAAAAAAAATTTTTCTTTTTTTTTTCAATGGTAATTTTATGTTTTTTTTTTTTTTACTTTTTACCTAAAATTAATTTTTTTTTTTTCGCGGAAAAGCGTTTTAAAAAAAAAAGAAAATTTTTTCGTAGGATTTGCTCACAACGATTTTTTTTCTTTCTACCACGTTAAAA